TTATTATTATTGTTATTATTATTAAAAAAGTAATTCTTAGTAAAAAATTATTTGTTTAAAAAAAATCCAAAATTTCTGGGTGGCCTTGGTGGTATTTTAGTCTTGATGGTCTTGAGGTTTTGGGCAGCTGACGTGCTGCTGTCCTTGGTACTGAATGGTATTTAATGCTGACCAGAGTTGGGCAACATGAGAAGATATGAGACGGATCCCATTCGCCTCATCTGACTATAGGGATCAGGCAGGTTAAGAGAAGAGTTTATGTTTTCTTCTTCCTTCATACCATAAAATGTGTAGTTTTTCAAATCATGGCCAAGTCAAAGACCAACCCTAGATTCAACAGATACTTTGGATGCTTTGGCTTTCATAGATGGTTCTGGCCTATTGACAGATGACAAAAGAGAGTCCTAGATGTGAAGGGAACAAGCTGAAACTAGAGCGCTGCTGTAGGGCTGAGTAACAGGGCTGGGACAGGCGCAGTGGGGTGACGACAGGCCTCTGAGAGATGTTTAATTTCAAGGAAAACAGGACGTGAATATTAAAAAGTGAGTAGAAAGAGAGAATAGTGTTGAAATGTTTGGAAACCTTTCATTTCATTTCACAAAAAAATATATTTTTGAAAGATGTCTTCGTATTTTTTGATTAAAAAAACAATGAAAGTCGAAGGGACCAGTCTTGTTTTGGAACCTAGTGACTTTCATTTTATGGACAAAATCATTTAAAACATTCCTCAAAATATCTTTTTTGTGCTTTAGAGAAGAATGAAAGTAATACAGGTTTGGAGCGACCTGAGGGTGAGTAGATAGTAAATCTACTATCTAGTATAGTAAATAATTGTCATTTTTTGGTGAATTAACCATTTAGGAGGTCTAGCTTCTCATGAACTGGCAGATGGATTACTTGATCCCTTTGTCTATGTTTAGTAAGAAAGCCATAAATTAACATTCAATGTTGAATGTATTTTTGCAGATCCTTATTCTGGGACTACAGAGCCCATAATGTGATATGGTGATATTAAAAAACAAATTAGTCATGAGGAAAAATTTCATTGCTTTTGCGTTCCCCCAAGAAATGTTGCACTCATTCAAAAAAAGGTATGTGTTCCCATGAGAAACTTTAATGAAAAACTTATGATTGGAAATAATATGATGTAAGAAATACATATATTTTAGTTAGTGCTTTTGAGGGTGAACACAAAGTTTCTCAGGAGAATGCAACAGTTAGGCGAATGAATGCAAAGTTTCTCTAGGAAACACAATTTTTTGTGAAACAATGCAAATATTTCATGAGAATTTGTTTCTCTTGTGAATGCAATACTTTTGTGAGAGAACACAAAGTTTGTTGAGGAAACTGAAATGTTTTGCGAGAAAATGCAAAGTTTCTCGGGAAACACATGAAAAAAATTAATTGTGCACACGATTTACTAATTCGTTCTCTTGGTTTACTAAATTGTGCGCACAATTTACTAATTTTTTCCCTCATTTTAAGTAAATCGTGTGCACGATTTCCAAATTCATTCCCTTGGTTTACTAAATCATGTGCTTGATATAATAATTTGTGCCGTTTTAAGTAAATGATGCACACTAAATAATCATTTGTTCTACTTCCTTTCCGCATTCTCATAAACCTGTTGCTGCTGTTCTTATGATGTTATGGACAGAGACACTTAAATTTTTATTTTGAGTTGGGAATGAGTTATAGAGACATTGTCAAAAGCCTTGCAGTGTGCATGGAATCATTTTGAGAGGCATCTATAGAGAATCGGTTTATGAGGATGCAGACAAGAAATAGAATGAATTATTATTTATTGCGCACAATTTACTTTCAGGGCTTTGTAGAATGCAACTGTTTTGCGAGAAAATGCAACATTTCTCAGGGAAGCGCAAATGTTTTTCGAGAAAACACAAAGTTTCTTGTAGAAACGCAAATGTTTTGTGAGAGAACCCAAATTTTGTCAGAGGAACCCAGTAGTTTTTCAAGAAAATGCAATGTTTTCTCTCCCATCTAATTTTTTTCTCATCACCATGTCCGGGTTTTTATATGAAACTGATGCAGAAATTGTTCAAATACCGTATACCAATCCATCCCAAGCCAACAGATGGTTTTTCAGCAGTGCATACTTGAGTTGTAGGTTTATTGAACCATTCATGATGGAAAGCAACAATCCCATGGCCTCCTTCAATCTTCATGCTCGTTGAACTCACTGAGGCTCCATAGGGCTGCCAGCTTGTGTCAGGTCAGTGTCATGCACTATTCCTCTTTGCATCGCACTGGAGAATAAAACCCAACACAGTTTGACCGGGTCTTTCTGTTATGATGATATAATCTCTTACATAATCAGATATGGAGTATATGCCAGCTGGAGAAGATTTTTTCCCCCTTTTTTAATCTGTGATGCCACACTGTTCACAAGGGGAAATAAAAGTTCTTTGCTCTCTCTCTCTCTTCCTCTCATTTTCTATCTGTCATGTTTACGTCTATCTCGATCTGCGGTCCTAATATCATGCTTTCCACGTGCTTAGTGCTTATTTCTGTCATCAGATTAATGCTGGAGATTAAGCCGATTCTTCAGAGGAGTCAGATGCCAGATATATTGGCATATTATGTCCATGCTTAAACTGGTAGCACTTAATATCGTGAAGTGTCAGAAACTGATACTTTAAGAGAAAACAGCCCGCATGACAAAATAAAAATGTAATTCATTGATTAGCTTGTGCTCACATGCTTGTTGGCGCAGGTTGAGTGAATTCTCAAGGCTAAATGCTAATGAAAACAAATGGCTGTTAGTGCAGAATTCATGGCTATTTAGTTTCCAGAAAATTCTCTGTCATATTTTGCCGGTATCAGTCAGGCCTTTCTTCTGACAGTTTGTGTTTCAGTGCATTACACAAATGAGGTCAGGTCAGAAGTGCATAGGTCGTGACCTCATCCATCCAGAAAGATTTATTAGTATGGCCATTAATGGGAAAGATGAGCAATTGATTTAGACTTTACAGAGCTCTGTAACATACTCAGGCAAGCTTTGAGGTTTTTGCAAGTTGATTCAAAATCCGTTGCTAACATACTTCAGAAATTTTGAATAGTTTTTCCTGACAAAAGGATTAAGTAGCAACCTAAATTGCACAACTAATGTGAGTGATTTGATGATTGTTTGATCCTACACATCATATCATAGATGAATCAGTGTAAATTTAGTAAAGTATTGAATTCTTGCCATCACTATTGCGAATTTTCCCTCAGAAGCTTGGCCCATAGCTCACTCGGCACATTGAAAGTAAAGGAAAAGAATTAGTGCTCAAATTGTGGGATTTCTTGAATAAAAGTGTACTATATCTTTTCTAAGTGATTGGACGTATGTTTTTTACTGACTGTGGGTAATATATTTGCACTTGAGATCCTTCAATTGAGATCCATCAATTCCAAAATAAAAGAAAGAAAGTAAAATGATGACAACAGATGAACAATTTTTGTATAAAATTATATTAATTACTATATATTGCATCTATAACAGTTTAGTATTAAAGGTGATGTTGTCAATATGTAATGTTTTTGAGTTACAGGATTTTTTACAGTATGTCATAATTATTCAACCCCTATTCAACATTGCTGTTTTTAAGTCGCTTGTTTGTATGGTAGGGCACAAAATTGTTTTAAACCACAAATAAGTCTTTGGAAACTCTCTAAGCAAACTTAACTAGCTTGAGCTGTTACACATACATAAATTTAGCCCATGAATGTGCTTAAGTCAAAAGCTATAGAGAATCAATTATATTTTGTTTCCTATTTAAAAGCTTAAAAACTGGAAATTTGTTTAACTGTGTGTCTGTCATGATGATAGTTCAATTGTTTCCATAGACCTTTAAACCTTTATTTGGAGGCATGGATCTGTCTGCCTGTTTTATGAGTTGAGCAATTCATTCTGGAACTTTCATATATGCCAATGACAGTATTTCAGCCGAAAGGGGATGTTGAAAAGCACAGTGTAAAACTTTTGCCTCAAGGTTGTAAACATACAGAAATTACCCATAAAACTAGTGGAAAAAATTCCCACACTAGGAGTGCTCTTTTACACGATGCTTTTGACATTTAAAATGTAGAAAGCGGCAGTTTGATGACCACTATATTTTTAACTGGTAGGTAGTCGGTTGCAAAACCTCATGAAATATAGATGGTACCTTTCAAGTTCACAGTAACTAAATGAGTTGGGCTGATCAGAATTGCTCTGTTCTCTAAAATCAAACAGATCATGATTCATATTGTCCTTTGATAAGACGTACCAAAGGAGCAAATGATTGAGAAAGTGTTGAAAGGTGCAGATGTGATGGATAGGTATTGTTTACTGTATGTCCAGTGAGTGACAAAGGACATATTTGATTATTAGAAACCGCCTCCTGTCATGAGTACAAGTATAAAACGTTATGTTTTCAGTTTGATGTACAGATAAAAACATTTGAGCAAAAACACCTTGTTCCAGGAAGCATATTTCAACACAAACAAAAGTGATAAAATCTGACCTAAAAAAAAAAAAAAAAATCCAACGAATGCTAATTTGATTTGATTTTATTTGAGCTAGAACTGCAATTATTTTTGGATCATATTTGTAAAATTCATAAAATATCAGAAGTGGCTTATTTGACTGCTCTGGTTTAAGGAGCTGTTATTTTCAAGTGACTACAAAGGTTTTTTTTTGTGAGTTCAGTGTTTGTTTCATTGTAGTGGCTATTCATACTATATACAGTATCTTCATACTATATACAGTATCTTATGTTTATACTGAACACAGAAGGTTCATGAATATGTGAATCAATTACAGTTACTGTATCTACTCTCTACAGTTGGTTTTTATTTTGCTTGACATTTTTATTTGTAAAGGATATCTTTTGTATTTCACAATAATTTCACCATCTAATAAATGATTATTGGGTCCTTTATGTATGAAAATATGGTATGGAAACCATGCAGCTGTAATATCTCACTTTTCCACTCTTGTCTCTCACTTACAGATTTAAGGAGTTCAGAAACCATCAGGGACGATGAGGAACTCTGGCGCCGTGCTGATTTTGACCTTTATTGCCAAATTAATATCACAAGCAGCAGGTGATCAGTGTTAGGAGTTCTGTTATATTGCTTATGAACCTAGCAGTACAACCTGACAAACTTCATATGCACACATACTGTTCACCACTGTTCAAAAGTTAGGGGTCAGTAACATTTAAAAAAAAAAGTTAACACCTTTATTCAGCATTTAATTGACGAAAATAACAGTAAAGACATTTAGAATGTTACAAAAAGTTTCTATTTCATATAAATGCTGTTTCTATTCATCAAAGAATGTATCACAGTTTTTACAAAAATATCAAGCAGCAATAAGAAATAATTCTTGAGCAGCAATTCAGCATATTAGATTGATTTCTGAAGGCTCATGTTACACTAAAGACTGGAGTAATGATGCTGACAATTCAGCTTTTACATCACAGGAATAAATTACATTTTAACATATGTGACCCTGGACCACAAAACTAGTCATAAGGGTCAATTTTTCGAAATTGAGATTTATACATCATCTGAAAGCTGAATAATAAATTTTAATAATATTTCACAATAGTACTGTTTTTATTGTATTTTTAATCAAATAAATGCAGCCTTAGTTCGCAGAAGAGACATTTAAAAATCTTACTGACCCTCAAACTTTTAAATGGTTGTGTACATAAATAGTTCAGTGTTTTGTATATTCAAATGAAAATGGTGTAAACTATATTAAAAGACCAAGATCTCACTTAGGTTACCTCACTATCAACCTCACTATTTAAAACGAAGTAAAATTTTGGATCAGATTCTCACGTTGTGATGCATTGATATATACTATGGTACTGAATGATTGCCATATTATTTACAGAGTATTTACATGGTACTTAAAAGACAACACAAAGCAAACACATTTGCATAAATCCTACATTTTCTCAATAAAATGAATGTGAAACTTTACATATGAATAGTCTTATGTATGTTGTCCATAGGTGTCAGTGCGCCAGGCAAACCCAGACTCACAAGCTGTCGCTCTCCAGAGAAGGAGACCTTCACATGCTGGTGGGAGCATGGAGATGATGGAGGTCTGCCCACAACCTACGCACTCTACTACCATCTAGAAAAGTCAGTCTCTCTTCAGCTTGTTCCCTTTCTAGAGCTTTTCTTTATTGTCTTGAGAGTAGTCTTTAATGCTCGTCCTTACTCTTTTCTTTGGCTCCTAATGAGGTTTCAAAGGTCTTGCCATGTCTTGGCCTTTCCTCCAGTAATAAGCGGTTTAAACGGTTTTCTCTGCCATGTGTTTATTTCCCTCTGTTTCTGAGCACGCATGTGAAATAATCAGAAACACATACATGACTTACCTCCAGCCAATACACACACATGCCCGCACACCCTGTCCAATAACTCTTCAGATTTTCATCAGAGCTGATCCTCGTTAGTGCCATGAAGTGTTTTGCCAACATTACGGATTGAGATTCAGCAAGTACTGTACACAAACATCATATCTAATACCGTGTAATACTGCACCGAGGTGAGTTCATAGAATTCATTTTAATACAGTTGGATGTGCTGAGTTTGGATATTTCAAGGCTGCAATGAATAAATAGTGATATGTTGTTGTTTTTAAGAGCAAATTTTCTTTCCTGCATTGACAAACACTGGCTGAAGCATCATTTTCATCATCATAATGAAACATCAATATTTTGGGGCCATTTTTTTCCAGGAAATTACTATATTTTAATTGCATATAAAAAAGCAACAAAAAGGTTTATTTTGTCAATTTTAAGGAGTACACTATCATATATACTACTGTTCAGAAGACACAATACAGTAAAAACAGTAATAATGTTAAATATTATTGCAAATTAAAATAACTGTTTTCTATTTCAGTATATTTTAAAATGCAATAATTCCTGTGAAGCAAAGCTGAATTTGCAGCAGCTAACATGCACATGATTTAATGCGCAAAAAAAAGTTGTGCTGCTAAATATTTTCATAGAAACGTGACAAATTTTCAGGATTTTTGGATTAATAAAAATTTTTTTTAATTGAAATGGATTTTTTTTTTTTTAAAGTATGTCACTTTTGATCAATTAATTTCATCCTTGCTGAATAGAAGTATTAATTTCTTTAAAGAAGTTGTGAATGGTACCGTAGATTAGCAGCAAAGCTACTAGACATGGACTAAATGCCACAAAACTCAGTTTCTTTTTGGCCCAAACGTAATAAATGTACTGCGTGAGATTATTTAATGTTTTTATGATATCAGCATGAGTATTGTTGTTGGCATGTTTATGACCAAAATATTGTTTTTCTGTTTAAGAGTGCAAGTTTTAGACTTTGCTTATAAATTGTCACAGTGATTGGACACAAACTGGCTGTAGAAATGTATGTATTTTTATTTGTAATTGTCTAATTTGTATAAGTGCACATCTTTCTGTTGATATCAGAATCAGAAGAGCTTTATTACCAAGTATGCTTACACACACAAGGAATTCGACTTGACGACAGGAGCTACCAGTGCAGAAGAAAGCACAGACATAAGTATATCTCATAAATTATATCTCTCGCATGCAGCTCAGAAACGGTCTACGAGTGCCCAGATTACAGAACGGCGGGCGAGAACTCGTGTTTCTTCAACAAAAACGACACATCGCTTTGGGTCAACTACAACATCACTGTGGTGGCCACCAATGCCCTGGGGAAGAACATTTCAGACCCTGTGGAGGTGGATGTGGCCTATATAGGTATGCAAATGAGTTTCCAACAATTAATTTGTACATATGATTTGTACTCTATCATCCCCTCTCTTTATTATAAGAACATAATTTGGTCCTTTGGGTCTTGAAATATCGTCGGTCACATGTTCTCTACCGTGTTATGCCATAAGGCAAATTTTTTACCAATTGAAAAATTAAGATTTTCGTTGTTTACTTTTAGTAGCAATTTTAGTTTTATCCTGCACAGTTTGCAAGGTCACGTTCCTTTGATCTGACGTTTTGTTCATTCATTGCAATTCCATATTATCATTAACTCATACGTACAACTATAACTGAGGCTAATCTTTAACTGATGTTTTTATTTATGCTGAAGGGGTGAAACATTCATTCGCAATACGAAGCACACTTTTCTGTTCTTTCTTTATTCCTTCTTCAGCAAGTTTGCATGCAAAGGTCACTTAGTTTGACCTTTTTAGGTGTCAACTAGTTTTTCACCCTCAAACTGGAAAAAAATAGTTTTGTGCATTAGTGCTGAATTTACAGAGTGTTAAATCAATAGTTTACCAAAGAAGACAATTATGTCATTTACTTACCCTCATGTTCCAAACCTGCATGACTGTTTTAAATGAGATGAAACATCTCACAGCAACTCTTTTTATATAATCAAAGCATTAAGTTACTATAGGGGCTGTCAAGACCAAAACAGGTTTGCAATATAAGCAAATGAGATTTGATTGCTACAATGGAGAGCAGTGACCTATATTTCAGTCTTTTCCTCATACAAAGCTATATGGCTTTAAAAGGCTTGCTTTAAATTGCAAGAGTCATATGGAGCACTTTTTTGGTGCTTTTTGTCAATTTTGGAATTTGACAGGCCCTGGTTACTGAATATTTTCATTATACTCTATGGAAAAGCATAAACATTCAGCAAAATATTACATGTTCCATGGAAGAAAGAACAATATACAGGTTTGAAAACATGAGGGTGAAAATGACAGAATTTCACTTTTTACTTTAAATATGTGGACCTATCATTTTTAGTCTTTTTGTTAATTAATACTTTTTTTTTATTCAACAAGGGCACATTAAATTGATCAAAAATGACAGTAAAGACTTATACGTTGTTACAAAAGATTTCTGTTTCAAATAAATGCAGTTCTTCTGAACTTTATGTTTAGCAAAAAATCATGTATGTGTATCACGACTGCACAACTGTTTACATGATGATAATACGTCTTTCTTGAACAGCAAATCAGAATATTAGATTGATTTCTGAAGGATCATGTGACACTGAAGACTGGAGTAATGATGCTGTAATTTCAGCTTTGCATCACAGGAATAAATTAAATATTAAAATGTATTAGAAACCAGTTATTTTTTTATTGTAATTAGAAACCAGTTGTAATAACATTTTATAATATTACTGTTTTAGTGTATTTTTTATCAAATAAATGCAGTCTAAACATCTCCAAAAAAAATGTTACTGCCCCCAAACTTTTGAACGGTAGTGTATGTTTCATTTCCACATTTCAGGATTTTTTTACACGCTCAAATTGAAATGTACTCAAGAATAGTTGTGGTAATCACAGCAGTAGGTTTAACTGTTGCATATTTTATAATGGACTTCCTGTCCTCTCCTTTTCACCCACAGTTCAACCAAACACTCCAGAGAACGTGACAGCAGTCGTGGTCGATGACGACCAGGGTCCGTTCGTGAGAGTGTCCTGGGAGAAACCTCGAACCGCAGACACTCGCTCAGGGTGGATCACGCTACTGTACCAGCTACGAGTTAAACAAGAAAAAGATAAAGAATGGGAGGTGGGTTTAAAAAACTCATCTTTAGAAAATGTTTGATTATCAGTTACGTTTGTAGCAATTTAACTAGATTTAAGTCTAGATAATATTGAGATGGACTTTTGTTACCCTGTTTTCACTCGACTGTTTAGACATCTACAATACAGTTGGACATCTTCACAATATACTTCACATGCTTGGTATTATGGATTAGTGTTGCCAACCAACTTGTTAAATGTGAGCCAACAAGTTAGAAAATAGTTCAAAGTAGCTGTTGTTTGTTTGTGACTTTATCCAACATCTTAAATGAATGGAACGCTAAGGGCAAGTGGACATGCAGCCAGTGGGCCGACATGAAGTCAGCTGTTACACTGAGCAGTTTAATCATTGACTGTCCCAGTCTGGGCTTATGTCTTCATTGGTCTCCTGAAACCTGAGGGAGGCTAGATCTGCAGAACAACAGTGACTAGATCAAACCAGATTTTTCACCCCAAAGGCTTGCGCTTCAGTAACACAGAGGCATGACCAATAATGATTGCCTAGTGACAGAGTAACCTGAGAGCAATAGTATTGGCTCATGAACTGAGACAAGATATGTAACTGATGATTATTGCTGATGATGTATTTGTCTTCAGTTTAAATGCTAACTAGATAAATATTTAAGTAAAATCTACTTTGATCTGAATTCACACAAATTTAAATATATATTTTGCAATGCAACAAATATAGTATTTGATATTTGTATTTTTAAATATTTTATGATTTATTTTAAATACATTTGATTAACAAAATATTGGTTTAGTTAATTGTAGTGGTACAGTAGCTTATGCTCTCTGGGTAAGTGTATGATACTGGCATCTATTTTGATCTGAATTCAAACAACTTTATAAGCAAGTAGACATATTAACAAATGTGATATATCTATCTATCTATCTATCTGTCTGTCTGTCTGTCTGTCTATTTTTATATTGATCAATGAGACTTATAAAAAGTGTTTCAGTGGTAGCTTATGCTCTCTTTATCTCTATGTAGGAATATGATGCTGGCATGCAGAAGTACTACAATGAATGCAGTCTTCACCCTGATAAAGAGTTCATGGTGCAGGTGCGATGTAAACCTGATCATGGGTTCTGGAGTGAATGGACCCAACCCACCTACGTCAAAATGCCCGACTGTAAGTCTTTATTTTTCTTTAGTAGTTAAAGCAAACTTGGTTATTATAAATAAGTACAATATATAATATTTGTTTTTATATTTATATAAATGTATTTATATTTATATTTAATATAGTAAAACCATTTATTATATTAAGTTAACATAATTTAATTATTATTAAATTATATTACCAGCATAACATTTTATTATTATTTTCTGGTTTACCTTACATTTGTAATCCCAAATGTTCAATTGTCAGACTTCTGAACCTTAAATATAAAAGATGTAAGACATTGAAAATGCCAACCCCCAAACGTATAAAATGTGCACCAGGAGTGATCCAAAAATTGGTGTATGTGCTCAATATGTGCTCAGTTTAGACACATGTAAGACAAGCAAAACATTTCTAGTCTAGTAGGTTGAGGCATGCATGAAGCCTATTAAATTTTCATCTAGCACCGCCAGAGAGCCGTTTCAGGACCACAATCTGTGTCTCCATGGTCTTCCGCTGAGCCTGAGAACAAATCTGCTCTACACATATGTATCTAGCAATTCTAGAGGGGATACTAACAGGCCTTCAGTTTCTCCAGGGAGTTATGAACTCATCTTCACCCAGCTAGCACAACCTCTGCAGCACACGGTTTTTGAGCCGCAGCTCTGGCTGGGCCTCAGTTGCCCGGGAGCTTCCGTGGAAAGTCAGGCCCGGTGGGAGTCGCACCTGACGGCGGCAAAAATGAAATAGAGCAAAATGAGTCAGAGATCAGCCTGTTTCCAGCTCACAGCATTTTAAAAATAACCACGATGTCCCAACTTGTTTATTTTGAGAGTTTGTCATTTTTAAATGCAGTGACCCAATTTTACCTACTGTTTATCCTGTTTTTTTTTTTTATTATTATGATTTGTCATAAGTGGAAAAACAAATTGCAGTAGAGATGTACTCTATTCATCACCATTTCCTGATTTTGTGTTTGTGATATGTAGATATACCCAGAGAGCGTTCGCTGTGGATCATGATCACGATAGTCTCTGTCTTCATCATCCTCATCCTCACCTGGACTCTAAATGTGAAACGAAACAGGTGCGTCTTTGAGCCTGAAAATTTTCTGTCTGAACTAAAATGATTTATTTTTCCATTTGTTATTGATTGTATTTTACTTTTTATTTTACATGTAATGTTTTGGTTTTCATATATATTTTAACATGATTTTATTGGTGAGTTTTGCATTTGCATTTTATTCTATATCATCTTACCATCTTATGCCATCATTGGCAAATGTAAAAGTCATGCCTGTTAGTGTGATTGAAGTCAGATTTGCTCTGACCATTTATATATATATATATATAATTGCCTCTTTGTTTTTGCTGACGAATACTCATTATGTAGGATTAAACTGCCATTAGAGGATTGATCCAGATCTTGCAGTACTTCACTTTACTCTCAAATGTAGTTTTTAGGCCAGTTTCTCTCAGCACAGATTTAAATAGACAAAGATAGACTAATTACATTGTCAAATAATGTGAGGCATTTTCAACAGTACAAGGACGAACAGGATCCAAAATTAATCTTTTAATCCTGTCGGGACACGTGGAAGCTTTTGTTCCGTATTCTAGATAAGTCCCTTTCCAGTATCCATAGTGCTTATATTATGATCAAGCAGGCTGACATGTAGAAAGACATTAATCTTAACTGTGCATTGACATAGAATTTAAGACAAATTACTAATTAACTCCCAAACACCTCAAGAAAATATCATAAAAAATTATCTAAATTCAAATTAAGCACATTTTGTATACTTAAAGTATTTCAAGGGTTTATTTAACCTTTGAAAAAACAGTTCAGTATCAACTTTTTCAATCTTATTCAGATTTTTATATTTGTATTCAGTGTGAAGCTTTGTTTGCTGCCTCCTGTTCCTGGACCAAAAATCAAAGGATTCGACAAACAATTGCTCAAGGTAATAGAAAAATCACTCATGCACCTCGAAAAAGGCCTGTGTCCAACTAAACTTTGACATTTTTCAGGTTAGCTTTAAGGTAGACTCCATAATTTCAACATATTTGGTGGTTTTTATCAGCATGGTAAATGGAATCTTAGCTTTTGTGTGTTTGTTTTACCTTCAAACAGCTGATGGCACGCATTTTGGACTGCTATTAAGTATTGTGTTATGCAACCATTTATTTATACAGTATTTATTCAATACAGAATGCATCAAAGCAGCTTCACAGTAATAAACAGGACACCCCTGCCTTAAGGGATAGTTCACCCAAAAATGAAAATTCCGTCATCATTTACTAACCCTCAAGTTGTTCGAAACTTGTAAGGCGTCGTGTAGGGTGTTGAAGACAAAAGAAGATATTTTGAAGAATGTTGGTAACCAAACAGTTGCTGGCAGTCATTGCCTTCCATAGTATTGAAAGAAAAGTATTCTTCAAACATTCCAACATTGATCAAAATATCTTCATTGGTGTTCAACAGACCTTCAAACAGCTGATGGCACGTATTTTGGACTGCTATTAAGTATTGTGTTATGCAACCATTTATTTATACAGTATTTATTAAATACAGAATGCATCAAAGCAGCTTCACAGTAATAAACAGGACACCCCTGCCTTAAGGGATAGTTCACCCAAAAATGAAAATTCCGTCATCATTTACTAACCCTCAAGTTGTTCGAAACCTGTATGAGTTTCTTTCTTCTGTTGAAGACAAAAGAAGATATTTTGAAGAATGTTGGTAACCAAACAGTTGCTGGCAGTCATTGCCTTCCATAGTATTGAAAGAAAAGTATTCTTCAAACATTCCAACATTGATCAAAATATCTTCATTGGTGTTCAACAGAAGAAAGAAACTCATACAGGTTTCGAACAACTTGAGGGTTAGTAAATGATGACAGTTTTCCGTTTTGTAAAGGTTTTGATATTTTCCCTCATGCCACATTTTTAATTGCATTTTTGAGGAAGTTATCTCACTTGCTTTACTTGCTTTTTTACAGAGCGGAAAGTCAGAGGAAGTTTTCAGTTCTCTGGTGATCCAAGGTTTCCCTCCAACCATCGATTACGACGACTTACTGGTGGAGTACCTTGAGGTGTATGACAATGAGGAGCAAGAATTGGTTCTGGACGGTAAAGATCTATCAGAGGTCTGCATGAAGTCCAAAAGGCCGTCAGACTGCGACTCGGGCAGGGGAAGCTGCGACAGTCGCACTCTGCTTTTGGAGAAGTGCATGGAGGGACGGGAAGGGAGTGGAAGCGATCAACATCAGTACAGCCAGCATGGAGAAACGAGCTGCGCTTCTACTGAAAGCAGTGAATGCCAGGGTCTCGAACCTGGTTCTCCAGAGTCCTCTGGAGAAGGACTCCAGAGGACTTGTGTTTTCGTCTCCGCAACCTCTGTTGTGTTTTCGTCTCCGCAACCTCACCACCATTACCAAGTGGAAGCTGTGAAACCGGTCTACCACAGCGTCCCAGAGATCCTCAACCATTCATCGCCACACGCAATGCCAACCAACTACCACCAGCTACACCATCAGGACATGCCACAACAGGAGGGCCGCTTCAGTAAACCAGCCTGCCGACATTCCCAAAGCTACAACCAGTTTAACCTGGATGGCCTCGACACTCCTGCTCCTGGCGTATCTCCGTCACGTTCTCTGGAATATGTGGAGGTGCAAAGGGTCAACCCGGAGAATATGCTACTGCTTAGGCCGCTTTCGGACCCAAACCGTGAACCTGAGGGGTCAGATTATGCTGGGGAGGACTACAGCAAGGTCAAAGAAGTAACATCAAACAATATTCTGCTTCTGCAGAGGGATACGTCCCATCAGTGCGTGGACGATTACAGCCAGGACTTGGACAGCCAGGCTGGTCAATGCACAACCCAGCAACCGCCTCACCCCTGCAAACCTGTCATCTACCAATCGAACAGTGGGATGCCACAGGAAGGCATGAGGGTGATGGGAAATGGTTATGTGGACTCAACAGTCTTAATGCCATCCTACTAGCGCATAGTGGTCCATTGCAATGCAGCAAAAACAATAAGCTGAACATAAAACCTTGAGCAAAAAAAAGTGCTTTTCTCCCTCTCAGATCTTGCTACGGTGATTTAATGAAGAGGATTTATATTTATAAAAATAGTTAGCTTTAATTATATTGTATTAGCAAGAGCGTTATGTTTCAGAGCTGAGGTCTGAACTTTTATGTAAGCACTGTAAAGGGTCTTGAAAATAAATGTTCTTCATTTGCTTTGAAGGTTCCATGAAGAACCCTTTAACATCCATGATGGAACCTTTCCATTGCACAAAAGGTACAAGGTTCTTTAGATTATTAAAATGTTCTTCACACTAAGAAAAAAATGTTTTTTTAACAACTATGGACTGAAATGTTCTTTGGGGAACCTAAAAATGGTTCTTCCATGGCGTTAGCCCTTTGGAAGAGCGTGAGAAGTCATCGATTTTGTTTCTTTGACAGATTGTGTACTTTGATGAGGTGACACTTATAAACACCAAAAACCAAGTTAAATCAAGTCTTTAACGTTAACATGAGATCCCATTTACTGCGAAATTCACTTAAATTCTGTATGTTCTGTATTCTGTATGTATGTTAGTCAATAGGCCCATAGCCATTTAGACATTGTGATTTCATTGGAAATTCTACTTTTCAAGATCCAGCAACCGCCATTGCAATTCTCCAATACTTTTATGCTGTTTTACTCAGAAATATATGGTATTTTGGAAGTAAAATTGGTTGTGAATGCCATTTCTTGTTAACTTTTAATGACTTGTCATGTTTTGAGATTCGTGAGATTTGAAAACTTAGCACTTAGCATAGTTGCCCTCAGCAATCCACTATGCATTATGTTGTTGTATGTATTTTCATCATGGCACTGTTACGTGTTAAAAGCCACTACTTTTTTTATGCCGCTATTCACTCCTAAACTACATGACGGGGTCTGTTGCTATAATGTACATGGCCTATTTTTTTAACTGATCTTAAGTATTGTCAAAGCGTTCACCCAATTCAAAACTTTTGCTTGATGCATTTCACTACACATTTAAATGAATTTTAAATATAATGACAGTATGCTGCGTATTATATAAACACAAGAGCATTATTTGCAGTGAGAGTCGGTTTATACCTACTGTAATCCTGCTGGAAACACAGCATAATCTCAGCCATACAATTCAAAATGTCTTTGCTTATTAATGGTTTACACACATGCAAAAGTAAATAAATGAAAAGGGATTTGAACTGATTGTAAACTCTTATAATTTTAAAGAATTTGCCTTTGATATTTACAACTCTCAGGTGGAGGAAAACTTACTTAAACACTCCTGCCGAATGTATGTATTATAAATGTTATTGGCACTGATTTCAAACACAAAAAGCAAAACCAGTGTAAAATGAAAAATTGCAAACTGCCAGCATTCAGATATTTTTCCAAATATGTTACAGTGAGTTGTTCACTGTAAGAATTTGTGTGTTTCTGTGAATGTTAACCTTGTGAGAATCTATTTTTCTAAATCTGTATATCCTTAAATCCTAGGTAGCCATTAATTCATGGAGACAAGGAAGATTTTAGCCCTTGCCAATTCAAGAGTCAACCTCCACATGTTGCCTTATTTTATGCATACAGTGGGTACGGAAAGTATTCAGACCCCCTTAAATTTTTCACTCTTTGTTATATTGCAGCCATTTGCTAAAATCATTTAAGTTAATTTTTTTTTCCTCATTAATGTACACACAGCACCCCATATTGACAGAAAAACACAGAATTGTTGACATTTTTGCAAATTTATTAAAAAAGAAAAACTGAAAAATGCTCAGTATTTAGTAGAAGCACCCTTTTGATCTAATACAGCCATGAGTCGGGGGTCTGAATACTTTCCGTACCCACTGTAAATCTCTGAAAGCCGACTGAGGTGTATTTTTATTTTATTTTTATTTTTTTGGAAAGGGTAAATTACCAAGTATATATTTATGTCTAAAGTTGCATTACGCATACATGTAAATATACAATAATTATTCAATTGTTATATATAATGTAGAAATGCATTTATATGTAACCTACAGGCAATTTATATACTGATAAATAGTTTTGTTAGTTTTGCCTAAGCCATACATAAATCATCCCATCTAACTTTGTTGATTTGTGAGTAGCGTAACATTTTCTTTGTTGCTCAGCAGTCATATATTCTCAGTTTCATGCATAATAAATCTGCACGGAAAAGCACAATTTCTTTTAATAGATTTCTATCTCAGGCAATGTCAAATCTACAAAATATGTGTTTGTTACAGTATCTAATTTAATGTGAAGCCTCGGGGCAACAGTGTGAAATAATATTTAAGTCTTTTCATCTGAGAGTAAGATATCTTACAGTAAAGAAAATGCATATGCAGATTTGATAATTTAGGGATTACATCTTTCTAACTGAAATCACATTTTTGACTTCATTCTACCAAACCCAAAACCATCTGACTAAAATTGTTCAAATCACAAAAATGTGTTATACATTTATAGAATTCTGTTGCTATTTTCTTTACTGTCTTTTGTCTTTACTGTCAAGTCACTGGAGGTGCTGAAATTAAATTTGCGATGTTAACCTATGTAAGAAATACATCTTGTGTGTTCTACTGTGTTCTGCTTTTCCATAAACATTATTTGTGTAATCACATAGCAAAACCATTAAAACATATGCTCAGATTGTTTCAGATGTGTCGGGGTGGTTATTCTGAGAATGGCTTTTTATTTTGCCGGTAAACATTTAACCAAAAACATTCAGGCAATGCATATACACAATAGAATTGTTAACAGTGAGTACTGTGTACTAGAAAATACTGTAATACAAAGACCACAACATTTATTCTAATTCAGCTTTTATGTTCTTGAATTATTATTATTAGGCCTATTATTATTATTTTGCTAATTTGTCACAAAAAAACTTGTTTATACTGTATCTCCAGAGATTTGTAATTGATTACTTGACTATTTTAGATTATCATAGTTTATAAAATCTAATTCATCTTGTTATAATGGATTTTTATATTTTAAGTTAAAAAAATCTAGGCCTGGCACAATGGTAATTCAATAAAAAATTACATATAAAAAAAATTCAAATAGGGAAAAAATTATGAGGGCATAAAGTTTTCCAATTGATAAAACAAAAACCTGTTAGTTCTATTATTATTGTTATTATTATATACGCTACAGTATATATTATATACTGGACATTTACATTTATTCATTTATCGTGGACGCAACCTGATGAACTGAACAAACTAGATTTCATATACTTTTAGCCATATTAAATGGAACATAAGATAATACCACTGATCTATAATAGGGAGGTTCGAACACTTCTAGTGGCTTCACCGCCTGATGGTAGTGAGCAATCCAGTCATTTATATAGATGTGAATAATACCCAAAAGAATAGCTCTGCTGCTCTCTGTGAAGCACATTACTCTTCAGTAAAAAGCCTCAAGACAGACTTTACCCCTTCATACCATTGGCTGAACTTGCCCCTCCCCGAACACTTTTGGAGTAGAATTCACCGCTTTCCACACTTTAATTTTTGGATTTGCTGCAGAAGTATTTGTCTTAAAAACATCAGCAATGCATAAAGTTTGTTCTCGGCTGCACGGTCCGTCTCTGTTCAGGAAAACGGACCCGTGGAATTCAGTGGATGCGTGTGTAAAATTCCACAAAGATTGCGGTAAGAATGCAATGTTTGTCTCACATTTAAAGTGATCGGAACATGTAACGTAAAGTTTTTAATATATAGTACATACATTGCGTTTGCGTATTTCGGCTCGAACGAATCTGTAGTCCGGATTCCCGAGCATCGAATCACGAACAACGGCCCTGTCATCATAACAAAAATGTAAATATGTGTTTGGACATTACCATGGCGATACTGTGGTAATTAATGACGAATGACTGCCCTGTCAATATTAAAACACTTCTATCTATCTATCTATCTATCTATCTAGAAGTTGGATATATCATACAATTCTTACTGCTTAAAGTTGTTAGATAGATAGAATACATATCAATATCTATCTATCGTTAAATATTTAAAAATAATAGTAAAATATTATACAATATACTCATACTACTTAATACTATACAAATAATATGATAGATAGATAGATGGATGGATGGATGGATGGATTCAATATGCCTCTCCTATATCAGCACTGTAAATCTTCTGTGCCAATGCATGCAAGGTTACTGGGAGGTTAGCAGGTCTCAGGGCAGGGCTTTCCTGCAGCTTAAAAGATAAAAATATCCCCTTTGCATATGAGCTGGCAGGAAATATTGTGACCCATAACTGCCTCTATGGATTACTGAGCACTAAATGTACCTCTGCCCAGGTGTGCTTTGCCAAAAATCAGCCGTGAAACACCCACCACCTGTGCTGCCCCAGATTCCCCCATGTGACTTTAAACCTCAGCCGTATCAGGTAGCCTAAGAGGTTTATATCTGAGGGCATTCATAATAATAATAATCAGAGAGAAATCAAATCATTTTTAAGCATGAATGATTTTTTCCTTTAGGACATGTCTAAAGACCGTTTACTAGACATAAGGAAAAACAACTGCAACCCCATGACTATGAAGGTAACATACTACAAGAAGCCAGTCTTCATAAACCAGGGTTACATGCAGTGGCTGTGGGATGTGGATGGAAGACGCTATATGGACTTGTTTGCGGGGGTCGCCACTGTTAGTGTAGGACATTGTAACCCGTAAGGTTCAGTTTGTTGCAATGCAACATTTTTGTTTATTTTGTGAATGTGTGCATTACAGTTAGCTTGAACTGCAATAAATGACTAAGCTGTAGATTAATGCTTATTATGGACTTGTTCCAGCATTTTATTGCCCAGAGCTCTTACATGGGCTGCTGTGTTTGTTTTTGTCTACAAAATTACATTATTTCTAAAATGTAATTAGAAGTTTGAATATGGTTGCAGGAAAGTGACAGAGACGGCCGAGAAACAGCTGAGGCGTCTATGGCACACGACAGCCATCTATGTGTATCCACAAATACAGGAGTATGCAGAGAAACTGGCCTCTCTTTTGCCAGACCCGCTGAAGGTGCTGTATGATTGATGGAGCCACTGCCATTGCTGAAAGTGGAAGGCTGAGCGTATTGCATTGTGAATATATTTTATTACATGTAACATACTCTTGCCTACTGCAGGGGCTTACAAACTGGGGTCTGGGGGTGCCGTTTTGTCTGCAAAAAAATATAAAAAAATAGTTTAGTTTATGT